AGCTTAGTAGGTCTATACTGTCTAAATGCCTGCGTCTGGCCCGCAGGAGGTGAGGCTGGCCACATCAGCTGGTGACAGGCCTTTGATGCTCTCCGGCTGAAGGTACCCAGCATGTCTATGGCATCCTGCCTGAAAGCATTCTGTCATAAAAATGAGTAGGAGGTGACCTCTGCTTGCATAGCGGGGACTTGGTATTTGATCTTTTAACGGAGTTTGCAGCATGAGCATTTGAAGAAAAGCTTTGATATTGATAGTGCATGTTAAACTGAACCGCGTCTGAGTTGAAGATCTTCCTTCCCAGAGCATCTGTCCTCATTGGTGTCCTTTCCTCGCTCTTTGCCCTGGCATGTGTATTATTCCTGTGCCTTTCCCCGGGGAACTGTGAACTAGAAAGACAGAGAAAGCCATACATCTTGTGTATAGCCCTGTCTGATCCCATCTCTAAAGGTACGGTAAAAGGAATAATGTTTTCATTTGACTGATTTTAAATTTCAAAATTTTTCAAACATTTAGCAAAAGCACCAGTAAAACTGATATTGTGTAAGTGTAATGAAAAAACCCCACAATTTTGCTGTGATTATTTTAAAATTCTTAACTATAGGCCATAGAATTTCTTACTTAAAGCTGTTTGTTACATGCTTGAAAGATTATTTTAGAAGCCATTTCGTCTCATTTTACCACCCTTCTTTCAGCAAACTATATTAGTTTTGACTTTTGCAATGAGTATAATGAGAATCTCTGTAATGTAAAATATTTTTGAATATTGTTGGATCATAACATGTCTGCCCATCTCAAACTGATTGCTAGTTATACAAAATCCTATCTTCTTTTAATGGTCTTTGAAAAAAGAGGCAAAGAAAGAAAATGTTTTCTGTATATGCAGAGATTATACTTTATGAACTGTCATTTTTCATCATTCCCTCTCAGTGTAGCATCTTCTACACCATAAATATAAGTAACAGAGCCCAGGAGCCGAGGAGATGGCTCAGTGGAATAAGTGCTTCCCTGGCAAGCACAAGGGCCTGAGTTCAATCCCTGGTTCTGCAAAAAAAAATCTCAGAGCCCAATATCAACTAAAAGTGGGGTGGCAAATTAATACTTCCCATCTTTTAAAAAGTACTAAGTTGGTGTCCTTTAGTTTTGTGGCCCCTTCAGTACTGAATTTTCCAGTAATAAATCAAAAGTCAAAACTATCAGCCCTGCTCGTTCATTTTTGGGGGCACTAAGAGCCAGCCAAGTGACACTCCACCAGGCCTGGTACAGAGGGACCCAGGGTGTTATCCAGGTCTGCACCCCATGGCTTTCATAATCTCCCCCAGGCTGAGACACCCCCCCACACACACACACACTGAGGACATTTTATGGGCTTTCTGTAATAATTTGCCTTCTGACTCACTTTCCAGGGTGTGCTAGCTCACCTGAATTGCCCTTTAGAATATTTGTGACACCACTTCTTCATTTTTTTCAGAACTTTAATCTTACAAGCTAATTTAATAACATACACTGCTTTAGGTGGGAAGGTGTTCTCTGTTAGACCTGGATTCCCCTACAAATTTCTGGAGGAGACAACAAATCAGATACTGAGAATTGAACTAGATGGAGGCTTGTATATGATTTTTATTTAAAGCATCAATAGGATAATGAATTTTTTATGAAAAACTATTTTTTAATCATCCCCTAATTATTCCCAAGGTTCAGGCTTTAGAGTGCTTGGGGTGATTATTTCAGGCAACACTAACTGGGCAACCAACACAGAGCATTTCACAAGCAGTGTAGCATCAAAGGTTTCTCCTGCTGCTGCCCTACCTGTGCTAAGCAATCCCAGATACTCACTGAGTACCAGCCACTGTGCTGGTGGATGGGAGTTGTGTACCCAGCAGTGTACAGGAAGTGGCAGTGCCTTCATCCTACCGTTAGCTGGTGGGGTTTTCACAACCAAACAAGACAGGTGGGTTGTAGTAGTTGGGCAGAAATCAACAAGAGGAGAAGACAAGCCCCAGATGAGGATGACTAACTTTGTGTTGAGTCCTTAGGAAAAGACCTGTCTTTGATAGAGTACTTAAATGAATTTCTGGAGAGAAGGATGAGCCAGGCCCAGCCATGAAGTACACATAGCCAGAGGACACACGATGGGGTGGCCACTGGTCTGGACTGTTGAGAATGTGAATAGCTTCTTGCACACCCATGGGAACACTGTGGTGCTAGCGATATGCCTAGATACAAAGTGAACTAAGTCAGGTCATGTACAATAAGCAACAAAAGAAATTGAGTCTTTGTTCAGAGGACACAAAAGAGTAACACAACTAGAAATCTCATCTTGTCTTTTCGATCTCAGCTGTGTGTGACCCCAACTGTCAGTAGGGGATCACAGAAGGCAAAGAACTTGGCCTGGAGTTGAAAGTTGATCGTGGCCTTGAGGGATGAAAGAATTTGAACTGACCAGAGGGTGGCAAGGGATGTTTCAGGATGAGAGAACTGTGTGAGTAATGGTGCCAAGGTGGACTGCGTGCGGATGAATGAGTCTGTTAGGTCTAAAGCTACAGTCAGCAGTCTTGGAGTGAGCAGGGAGTTGTGGGCTACTTCACAGGCACTGTGGAAAGGACAGTGGGGTGGTTGTGACATCATTGGGAATTGCCATGCTTTCTGGAATGAGCAAGTTGTGTGGTAAAACAGGAAATTTGTAATGTAGATACAGATCAGTGGAAACGTGGGAAAATGACAGGACACTCACGAGGAGGGTCTTCCTTTTCATCATCCTTTTTTTTTTTAATTTTTATTTTTTGGTACGAGGGATCAAACTCAGGACATTGCACTTGCCAGGTAGGCACTTATGATACTGAGCTGTATACCTGGCCCAACCCTCTCTTTTTGTTTCTCCTCTGTCATGTCAGAGAATGAGCCGTCCACAGGCATCTCAGCAGATTGCCAGGCAGTAAGACTGACATGAGGAAGCCTCAATGAGAGGTGATGGAACCAGGGCTCTGCGTCGGGAGAATGAGCAGGGGGCAGAAGGGAGCTGAATGAGACTGACAGAGAAATAGGAAGCTAGATAGGTGGAAGGCCAAAACAGCAGTTGTATAAAAGCCTAGAAAATAAAAAATTGCAGACACTAAGTATGGGAAGTTCTGGGGGGATACCATTATCATGTTCACAAAAGCTGCAACTGACCTTTCACAGTGTTCATCTATGTCCTGGGCTCTTTACACACAGTAGTTTACCTATTTGTTTCCACAACCTTGAAGCAGTAAATGTTGTGTTAGCTCCGTCTTACAGATGAGATTTCATCACAGGGGGATGAACAGTGTGACTTATGTCTTGCTGCTGGGCAGCTTTGAACCACCAGTGGCACATGCGTGACCAGCCCATCTGGCAGCCTGGAAGCCCTGCACGTACAGGCACTGGTACAAGCTGCCCTGTCATGCCTGTACCCCTGGTGGCTCAAGCTGGCGGGACCCTGTTAAATCACTCACCCAAGATCACCCGATTTGGAGTGGAGCTAAGATTCAAACAGGCATATTCTGTCGTCAAAGCCTAAGTCCCTAACTCTTAGGCCATATGGCTATAGCCAAGATGGTGTTTTAATTACATAGTTTGACTTCTGTTTTATGTAAGTGTCTAGTAAAGGAGTTAATTAACAGTTTAAAAGTTGGGTGCAGGCCAGAAAGTCAGCAGATGGCTGAGAGTGACTAGATAAATCCTAAGAGCAGAAGACAGCCTGGAATGCTTAGGTAAGGCAGAGGAAGGACGGAACATGTACCTTTTGATCTGTTTCTTCTTTTACTTCTTCCACACATGGTCAGTTGTTGTTCTTCTACCTGGGAGAGAACAATGCTAACTGGCAGAGAGACAGCACCCCACCGCTTAACACTTCCTCCGTAGAATGAATGTGTGTCTGCGTTTATATGCCAGGAATGTCCCTTTATCTAAGTGGATTGCCAACCAAAGTTGTGTATGGACGTTCATTTCTTAACTTTCATTACTAGATGTGAGTTAGGTTCCTAAGGAGGAAGATGAGTCAAATTCATAGGTAACCACTGGACAAAAGCCCAAGTTCTGAGATTTCTCCATGAGGAGTTTGGGTGCCCAAACCCTTCACCATGACAGCTACACCAGTGAATGCTCCCCAGTGGCCAAGGAGAGGCTGTCGTTCCCCTTGCCTTGTACCTCAAGCCTTTTCCTTTCTCTGTCCCTTGGGGAGGTGCTCCATCTGGCACAGCTCTTGAAATTCTTGAGTTGAAGGATAAAGAAATAAAACTCTTGGCCTTTCATTTACAACTGTCCCCAACTTGTAGCAGTTGTGTAACGTGACTGTGTTCCGTCTGCCACCTGTCCACAGTCACTGGCACTCCCCTGGTGACCTTGCAGGCCACCCTCCCTGTCTGTGCCTGATCCCTCCCTGCTGTCCCAGCCTTGGTGTCACAGGCCCCACTCAGGGCGCCAGCCCTCCTGCTCCCCACACCACCCCATCCCACAGCCTGGTGGCACTCACCCAAGCACCTATAGTTTCATCTCAAGCTCCTGTTGTATCTGTTCTTGTAGTTATGTGCATATAGTAGCTTCCTTATCACACTGTGGGCCTACACAATGGTTTTTCCGTATCACCTACACTTAACCTCAGAGAAGGTTAATGCTTCCAGGGCAGAGAGGACTAGTTGCTTGTGAAGCCTTTCTGAAATCATTCCTGTGCCTGGGTCCTTGCAAGCACCAACCGGAAGGCAGGGAACATCCGGGTCCCCATTCTTAATGGAGGATATCTTCAGTGGCAGCAGCTTACACAATTGCCTGTGATCCAGAGCCCCAAACTATCACTGCTAAATTGGAGGAGTCACACCCCCTCTTCGCATAATGCAACGTGCAGCTGAGACCAGGAGAACCAACACCCAGGGCAGGTTGCCTTCCTAGGGGATCCTGATCATTGAAGAAACCTTTACTTCTGGTAAAGCAGTATGAAAGTAGAAGAGTGGTAATTGTGACCTAATAGTAACTGTTTAACTTTTCAGATATTTCGAAAGAAGGCAGTGGAACTTGGGGTAAAATTGCTACCTGCATTTCATACTCCTTCTGGAATACCTTGGGCATTGCTGAATATGAAAAGGTAACACTTCATTTTCAACAATATATTTTAAGGTGAAATAACTTGAGATTGTGGGCTCACGAGTACGTGGCATAATTACACAAGTAACACTGGTGACTGCTGCCTCTGCTCCAGGAGCCTTAGAGTCTGTCCTTGGGTGGAAGGGATTAGCTTTGATAAGGCTCTGTGCTTTGATGAGTCTGGGTCATGGCATGGTGGGGCCCTACGAGAATCAGTCATACAAACCAGATGCAATCTGAGGGTCTCCCTGTTCTGTGGTAAGACTGTCTCTCTAGCATAAAAGCATTCATTTCCAAGGATGCTGGCCTGAGTGTGGTGTTGCTCTAGCTTAAGCTACAAGGGGAATTTAAAAGCAACAAGAGCAACAAGGCTGCTGCAGCCCACAGCTAAGAGAGAGGGAGCTGACCCCCCAACCGGTCAGTCCTGCCTTCATGTCCCCAGTGGAGTAGAAACCCCAGTGTGCCTGGTCCCCAAGAGTGGTACTCCAATAAAAGTCCTAGGATGAGACTCCATTGTTCTCCCAAGAACACCTGAACATCACGTTAACAAACACATTTTCTTAAGCATTCCTTCTGGCTCTCCTTCGGCGTAAGTTGCAAATGTCACATGGGCCTTTTACAATGATGATGAGGTGACAGCAGCCAGGATGTCGTGCCAAGTGGTAGATTCTGTATACACTACTACATGCAATTCCCCCCAGCACCCAAGAGGGCCAAATGGCATGGCTTCTGTGTTGTGCTTGTGCTGAACTGGAGTTGCAGAGCAAGTGAGCGAGTGGAAGAACTAGAACCACTGCTTTTGCTGTTCCGGTCTGTCTGTGTCTGTCCCTGTCCCTTTCCCTGTCTATGTCTGTGTCTGTCTGTCTGTCTGTCTGTCTGTCTGTCTCTCTCTCTCTCTCTCTCTCTCTCTCTCTCTCTCTCTCTCACACACACACACACA